ATAATTTGGTCAGAAGGGAAGTGATTCACAGCCTTGAGATGAGGCAGTCACCCAACAGTAACCACATGCTGCAGTTAGGGATTGAAATATATTAAGGTAGGAGAGTATTTTCTGTTGATATTCATACATAATGTACACTAGGGATCAGGATTGCTATTAGACTGGTCTTCGATATTGCTTCGGGGAAGTGTTATTAACTTAATATGCCCTTGAGGAGACGTGTGAATATAACATGATGGGAGCAAGGATGGAAGTAATTTTCTGCCAGAGTGGGGCTGATCAGGGAGGAGACTAGAGAGAGTACACAGGGCTTCAGCTGACATCACAACATTGTTCCATGGGGGCACAGGAGGCCACAGGGGTGGTGGAGAAGAAATAGGATGTACGTCTATGACTCAGAACAGGGTCGTCTTCTGAAGTTTGATAACCCTTAAGGTTTGAGTCACTGCAAATTGCGTGACAGGAAATAGGAACAAGGATTCCCCTCAGGAAGTAGGACCTGTCCCCTGTTACACTGAGCTGTTTTTAATTGGTCCTGACACAATAGTAAAGGCATGTGTGTGGGTCAGTGGATATGGCAAGGTTTTCCTCACAAGTATTGTAATTAAATCTGGCAAACAAATACTTATTATACATGTATGTCCTTGAAATGATAACCTTATTAAGCTGACATTTTTAGTTCAAACGGCTTATCACACAATGTCATGTACTTTTAAAATGGGAACCTAAGCTGAGTAGCATTGACCTTTGTGATTGGCTGACTCAGGTAACCAGTCATTATCTCTCATTTGTAACATAAATCCAGGAAGAGGGTTTCTCTTAGTGCTAGGCTTGTCAGTAGGTGTTGCTACTGTGTGTATGACTCAAGTCAGGGTAAGACTCTCTTATATTTTGCAGTGAACTTACTGGTCTGTGATTGTGTGTTTTGTGTGTCCAGAACTCCAAGTTTATTTCTAACAATTGGTAAGTGTTGTCTCCTATTGGGAAAGGTCATAGTTGATATAAGTGTTGTTCTGTTAGTGATTGAGATATACCGGTGGTGTAGAAGGGTTTACAATGATTGTTATTTGAACACCTGCAACCAGAATGAACTGCATGAGAAGAACTGTGATGTTGTGTACTATTGAGGTGGAATGGAGTGTAGTTAACTGACAGGTAACTGGTTAACTTCTGCCAATCAAAGATTTGTGGTAAGGACCTGCTTTTCTTGTCCTAATTAGCAAATCATGCCCCTCGGCAAGTCAGTACTGTAGGGTTGTCTTGTGGCTTCAGAGTACAAAGTCAGTGACCACCTAGCACGATTATTTTGTTACTCCGTGAAGGAGGTCAGGACCTCCGGACGGAGTGTTGTAATCGGCTGATTTTTCATGTTCGCAGTCAAAACACTGGGTTCTCTTTGTGTAATCGGCACGCAATTTTATACGCCGT